CTGAGAGCTCATATTTGATGGCATTACGAGGAACCCTCATTTAATCACAGGCAGGTCAGGGTCTGATTTCATGTTTCCAGGCAACACCTGGATAGCCAATAGTCAGCACCTGTGAGAACCCAGCATGGTGCAGTCCTGAAAAGGGTCTGGCTTTGTTAGTGCCGGTGCAGCAAAGGAAAGGGAGCCTTGGATAAAAATCTATAAAGCTGCGGCATTTAATCGCGCAGGAAATGAGTTGATATAAAGTCAAAAACTAACAGATCCTCCACACCCATATGATTAAAAAGGTAATATCGTGAACTCTCACTTAAAGCTGTGTGTTCATTTATGCAAATATTTGTTGAGCACTTATGATCTTCCAGCTAGTGGTCTGGGCTCAGAGGATTCAGCACTGAACACAACAGAACCCCCCTCCCCACGTGCCACCCCCCACCCCCAACCCCAAGAAATCTCTGCCTCATGATTCCTGTATTTTGGCAGAGGCGGGGTAAGAGACAGACACCAAGTGCCAGATAGCAACAGCCGATGTGGAGAAAAATGAAGGAGAAATGGAGGGTAGTGACATGGGTGACAGGCATGTCTTCAAGAAAATACTAACAAGATCCCAATTACGTCACAAATTGAAATAGAAAAAGAATCAAGTCATAAAAACATTTCTTCTGTGTAGAGAAATCAGCCTCTTGGTGAAAAACAGATATTGGGGTGGGGCACCTTTTATACAAACCCGGAGCAAGTTTTAGGGTACCCAGTACCCAGATAAAGTTATCAAAGGCTCAAAGTGAGGAAGAGGCACTTCTAACTCCAGAATGGATTTTCTGCAAGGTAACGAGATCCACAGGGAGGGCTGCGATTATTTGGCAGTAACCTCTGACCCTTTCATATCCCAAAGGAACCATACCCAGGAGCTGGCGGGTTCAAACGGCAAATTTAATAAAAGCAAAGACAGTGACATCAAGCACAATGAGAAAATTCTCCATAGGAAATTCTCCATAGTGTCACGTTTGTTACTGTATCTGGGGGAAAATATCCAGATACAGAAAAGTGGAATCCTGTGAAATATAAAAAATACACTCTGTAAAACTGCCGTCCCCAACCTCTAAGCCAGGGACCAAAACTGGTCCCTGGCCTGTTAGGAACCGGGCCACACAGCAGAAGGTGAGCGGAGGGTGAGTTAGCAAAGCTTCATCTGTATTTACGGCCACTCCCCATCGCTGACATCACCACCTGAGCTCCGCCTCCTGTCAGATCAGCAGCAGCGTTAGATTCTCATAGGAGTGAGAACCCTACTGTAAACTGCGCATGCGAGGGATCTAGGTTCTCCCCATGAGAATCTAACGCCTGATGATCTGAGGTGGAGCTGAGGCAATGATGCTAGCACTGGGCAGCGTCTGCAAATACAAGTTATCATTAGCAGAGACATTTTACTGCACAGAGACCATAATAAATCAGTGGCTTGCAGACTCATATCAAAACCCTATCAGTGAGTGGCAAGTGACAATGTAATAATAATAGAAAAAAGTGCACAATAAATGTAATGCATTTGAATCATCCTGAAACCATCCCCCACCTTCACCCTCCAGGTCCATGGAAAAATTGTCTTCCATGAAACAGGTCCCTGGTACTGAAAATGTTGGAGACCACTGCTCTGAAAGACAAAAGACTTCTGCTTTAAGCAACAATATTTTAGGGTTTTTGGTTTTTTATTTTCCTTGAAGGTAAGGGAGTGTTCTCCAGGATTGAAGCAGGTATAACAGTAGCGGTTTTACCAGGAGCGGCGTCTTTAACCTGCTCTGATTAGGGTGACAAAGCCTGGTTCATCTGGTCAACCGGCCAATCTTTTTAAAGCAGTTGACCCACAGTGGCCAACGCCAAAGGCAGAACACCCAGCTGCTGGCTGCTCCACTGCTGCGGGTGTCAATGTCCTCGACTCTGGGTGTGCAAATGGTATGAAGTGTATGTGAACAAAAACTAAAAACCAAAGAGAAGACCACCATTGTTTGCTCACACACACGAATGTGACCTGTGAAGGATATAAAAGACATGGTTTTCACATGCTTTCAAATATATACATGTTTGCTGTATATATTCTGCAGAAAGGCAAATCTCAAAAGTAAACAGAAATAACGGCCCTGGAAATGATAAATTCAAATGTATTAAGATCTGACCAGAGACAATCACCTGATTACTTGTATATGACAATGAGTTCTGTAGCTACTTTATTTCACACCAAATGTGCTATTATCAAAATAAATAAGGCGTTAAGTTTTTGATTTAGTAATTAATTTTCCTCAACTGTTTGGGGAAAAAAATCAGATACTAAGATTGAATTTCATTTTTACATCTCAAAGTTGTTCTAATTTGCAAAAGCTTTAAAGCTGAAATTGGCCCCAGGCGCTTGGTCCAGCCTGCCAGGCGGCCAGCCCCCCAGCCCCCTTTAAATAAATAAAAATAAATAAAGTAAGTTTTTGATTTAGTAATTAATTTTCCTCAATTGTTTGGGGAAAAAAATCAGATACTAAGATTGAATTTCATTTTTACATCTCAAAGTTGTTCTAATTTGCAAAAGCTTTAAATCTGAAATTGGCCCCAGGCGCTTGGCCCAGCCTGCCAGGCGGCCAGCCCCCCAGCCCCCGTTAAATAAATAAAAATAAATA